CAATCGAGTCAGGACAGGCTGGTGTGCTTCTTCCATGTGGGTTTTGTTGTTTCTCAGCTAGATGGCTACTTGTTTATCTTCAGGCTTTAAGACTTCAGATGCTATATCTTTTGGTAGCCGGGCACCATCAGCTTTCTTCACCACATTTGCTTGTGTCTTCAGCAATCATGCCAGGAAGGTGAGCATCTCAGACTGTGGAATTGTTAGAACAAAGTGTTCTTGTGTTGAGGGAATACTTGAGCAGGGGGCCACTGTCTAATGAATATTCTTTGATGAATATCTACTATTGCAAATCTAAGATTAATTTTTTTCCAGAGATTACTTATAAATGTCCTAATTCCAAGCTATTTATTCAACAAATATTTAGTGCTGAGGTAGTTAGTTTATTGTGCCAACCTGGCCGATAAATACATGTGGGATTAATTGAAGGGCAGAGAAATAAATGGCTCGGCTAGCCTTACCTTTCTTGTCCCTTGCTCTTTGATCACTGGACCAGTGTGCAGCTGCCTTGCTGGTTCTGTGGCTCAATTTGTGGGACACCTAACCCGTGGACTGTGTCGCTGTAATTTGAGGTTCCTTCAAGATCTGCTTCGCCACACAATTGGAATTTACATTTCTTGAGCTGGGGACTGTCAGACCCTGTCATCTGGCTGACTGTTGTTGACCTGCCTTGCTGTTTGCTGCCTGTGCCCAGATAGCCTGAATTGCTCTACAGAGGACTACCTGGAGGCCCTCAGGACTTGAAGGACTGCCGGTGTCTCACAACTGTCTCACGGAAGTGAGTTGCACTGAGGCATTTGTACTGCTTTATAATTTAACTGTTTATTTATTGTGTTATATATCTACCTATCTGTATAAATATATATATAAAATTATTAGCAATCTGGTTTTGTCTCTCTAGTGAACCCTGTCTAACACAAGTGTATTTCCTTTTAGTATTAAACATTTTAACTATGCTCCTAGTAAGTTTAATTTACACTGTTTAGGATACTGAATTCATAAACCTCATTGCCATAGTGTCAGTTCTGACTCATGGCAACCCTATAGGACACGGTAGAATTGCCTCTGTGGGTTTCCAAGGCTACAAATCTGAACGGGATTAGAAAGCCTCATCTTTCTCTCATAGAGACTGGTGGTTTCGAATTGCAGAGCTTGCAGTTAGCAACCCAACATGTAAACCACTATGATACCAGGGGTCTTCATTGATTTCATATGCAACAGAAAATGTTTACGAGCATCTACTACATGTTGAGTTCTGGTGGCACAGTAGCTAAGTGCTCAGATGCCAAATGAAAGCTTGGCAGTCTGACCCCACCAGTCACTCCATAGGAAAAGAGATGTGGCAGTCCACTTCCATAAAGATTATAGCCTTAAAAATCCTACTGGGAAGTTCTACTCTAAGTGGAACTTGAGTGGTTAAGGGATCAGCTGCTAACTGACATGTCAGTGGTTCAAACCCACCAGCCACTCACTCCACTAAAGGAAGATGGGCAGTCTGCTTGCTTAAAAATTTACACACTTGGAAACCCCATGAAACAGTTCTATTTGGTCTAAAGAGTCACTATGAGTCAGAATCAACTTGATGGCAATGAGTGTCATTTAGGATTTGTTACACAGCTGACACAGTTTATACATTTGGTGCTCAAAAATGAATAAGCCATACTCTTTACTAGTGGAAGAGGCTAAAGATAATCACATTAGAAGACAGTTGTATTATATGAGTAATATAATATGATAAAGATTAAGAAACACATTTTTTGTCATGGCATCTTATCACATAAGAAAAAATTTCACCAAAGGTAATGTGTGAACTGAGATTGAAGATTAAAAAAAGAAATTTGGCAAACTCAAAAGGAAAAGCAGAGCCAGTCATGATGACAACACAGAACAGGTGTAAAGTGATGAGACGTTATTGGAGGGTGGATACATGGTGGCCAGGTGGAGGAGAGAAGGAGCTAAAACTGGATTGGAAAACTGGCTAAGAGGGTCTTAAAAGCTTGAAGGTAAACAAGCGGCCATCCAGCTCAGAAGCAACAAAGCCCACATGGAACAACATATCAACCTGTGTGATCACGGGGTGTCGAACGGATCACTGAAGACAAATGGGTGCATAAGCAAATGTGGTGAAGAAAGCTGATGGTGCCCGGCTATCAAAAAGTATAGCGTCTGGGGTCTTAAAGGCTTGAAGGTAATCAAGCGGCCATCAAGCTCAGAAGCAACAAAGCCCACATGGAAGAAGCACACCAGCCTATGCAACCACGAGGTGTCGAAGGGATCAGGTGTAAGGCATCATCAGAACAAAAAAATCTTACCATAGTGAATGATGGGGGGAGTGTGGAGTGGAGATCCAAAGCCCATTAGTAGGCCACTGGAGATCCCCTTGCAGAGGGGTCTCGGGGAGGAGATGAGCCAGTCAGGGTGCGATGTAACAATGATGAGAAATACAACCTTCCTCTAGTTCCTAAAGGTTTCCTCCCTGCTCCCACTACCATGACTCGAATTCTATCTTGCAAGACTGGCTAGACCAGAGGAGGTACACTGGTACAGATAGGAACTGAAAATACAGGGAATCCAGGATGGATGAGCCCTATAGGACCAGTGGTGTGAGTGGCAAAACAGGGAGGGTGGAGGGAGAGTGGGTAGGAAAGAGGGAACCAATTGCACGGAACTGTGTGTGGCCTCCTCCCTGGGGGACGGACAACCGAAAAGTGGATGAAGGGAGAAGTCGGACAGGGCAAGATATGACAAAATACCCATTTGTAAACTATCAAGGGCTCATGCGGGAGGGGGGAGCGGGGAGGGAGGAGAAAAATGAGGACCTAATGTCGGGGGTTTAAATGGAGAGAAAATGTTTTGAGAAACGATGTACAAATGCGCTTTACACAATTGATGTGTGTATGGATTGGGATAACAGTTGTATGAGCCCCTAATAAAATGTTTAAAAAAATAAATAAATAAATAAAACTGGTTAAGAAGGGGGAGAATACTACATGTCATGATAAGAAACACTCAGTTTATTTTCTAAAGAAACATGAAGTTAGCTTATTGTGATAACTCCAATGTACCAAGGTGTGGGCACAAAGCCTTAGACACATGGCCTCACTGACTCCTCAAATGAACAGTACTATGAATTGTTTTACTCTTATCAGATGAAGAAAAGGAAGTTCAAAGAGGACATTAACTCACCCCAAGTTACACAGATAATAAGTGACAGAGCCATGTCTGCTAAGCTCTTATTATATTGCAACACACATTAAGTATTTGAAATTTGAAGTATATTCCAGTTTTATCATTTTTGTGTTTTGTTTCAAGGAGCATACTGATTTCACTGCTTGTTACTGATGACACGCTAAAGAAGCTATTTAACCCTCTTAAGACTCAATTTTCTCACTAGTCATATGATAAGAAAAGTATACCTCATAAGGTTGTTGTGAGGATTAAATGCGAAAACTGATGAAAAGTGTTGAACATGAGACCTGGCACCTATTCACCCAGCCAAGCCCCTGCCATCAAATTAATTCTGACTCATAGCAACCCTGTATAGGTTTTCCAGGCTTTGTAAATCTTCATAGGAGTAGACAGACTCGTCTTTCTCATAAGTAGTGACATGGATTTGAATTACCAACCTTACCGTTAGCAGTCCAACACTTAGCTAACCATACCACCAGGGCTCCTTGGGCAAATATTATGCACCCAATTAGTGTTCCCTTAAAATGGAAAACAGCTTATAAAAATACTACACCCTATGCTTTTGGAGAATCATGGACTACAGAAACCTAGTTTTCTGCATACACTTCATAACACATAGCAGACCACATGATGATGGCAAATGCGTTTATCATGCATTACCAAAACATCCCAAATCCATAATTTGGCCATTCACTAGCAATCATAGCTAATCATGGCAATCAGGGTTAAGCAGCAATTAATTTACTCACACGGTCAAATGTGATAGTGCTTCCATGTCTCCAAACACACTTTTAGATAATTTGCTGCAATAGTTGCTGCTGTTGTTAGGTCCAATCAAGTTAGTTCCAAGCCATAGTGACCCTACACACAACAGAACAAAACACTACCCCATCCTCATAACTACTTAAGCCCATTAAGGAAGCCATTATGTCAATCGATCTTGTTGAGGGCCTTCCTCTTTTTCATTGCTCCTCCACTTTACTAAGCATGATGTCCTTCTCCAGGGATTGGTCTCTCCTGACATGTCCAAAGTATGTACGATGAAGTCTTGCCATCCTTGCATCCAAGGAGCATTTGGCCCCATTCCTTTCAAATCAATGTCAGACTGAAGTGGTTGGTAGAATTCTTCAATTTCTTCATCATTAGCATTGGTGGTTGATGTATGAATTTGAATAATGGTTGTATTGATTGGATTTCCTTGAAGGTGGATAGCAATAATCCTATCACAGATAGCACTTTACTTCAAGATAGAGCTTGAAATGTCATTTTTGACAATGAATATAATACCATAGAGGTGAGGTAGCAGAACTAGAAATCCAGCCCAGGTTTCTTGACTCCAAAATCAATGTTCAAAAACTACGATACTCTACTACTGTCGACTGTTAATCAACTCTTATTCCCTTAGTTATATCTATAAATACTTAGTGTATTTCTACTGTAGATTCTTTGTTATACTGGGGGCTAGATATATAGCAGTAAGATAAAATCATTTCTAAAATATCTGTCTTTATTAATCTTACATTCTAGGACAATGTTCTCAATGGGGGACAATTTTGCTCGCGGAGGGGGGCGGATATGACAATATCTACAGGCATTCTGTCACAAGTAGAGGTAGGGGCTTTGCTACTCGCATCTAATAGGTTAAGGCCAGGGATGCTGCTCAACATCCCACAACCCATAGGCCATCACAGCGGAAGTTGATCTGACCCCAAAGACCACAGTACCAACCTGTTCTAGACAAAAGACAAAAGGGATAAGATGTAGAATATAACACCCACACCTATGTAAGAATATATACGTTAGCATAGTGGTGCTGAAGAATAATATTGAAAGTACCAAAGACTACTAAAAGGAAAAGCAAGTGAGTGCTACTGAGAGACAAGGATGGTAAGACTTCTTCTGCTATACATTGGACATACTGTCAGGAGAGACTAGGCCCTAGAAAAGGACAGCATGCTTGGTAAAGTGGATAAAGGGCAGTGAAAAGAAGAAGAACCTCAAGAAGGGCTGACACAGTGGCTGTGTATCAATGGCTCAATCTCAGGAACACTTGTGAGGATGGGCCAGGACTGGGCAGTGTTTCAATCTGTCGTGTACAGGGTCATTATGGCCTAGAACTAACTCAATGGCACCTAACAATAAAAACTGCAGTAAATTCTTTAAAAGTGCATTTTCAGACAGGGAAGCACTATCAAAGTTGACTGTGCGAGTAAATTAATTCTTGCCATCAGCATGTGGTCTGCTATGTGTCATGATGTGTATGCAGAAAACTAAGTTTCTGCAATGCATGAGTCTCAAAAACATAAAGCGTAGTGTTTTATATGAGAACCAGGCAATGTTTTATTCTGTTGTGCACAGGGTCACTATAAGTCAGAACTGACAACAATAACAGTACCTAACAAAAACAATTATCTATATGAGAAGCTTATATCTAGAATTTACATTTCTTAACAACAAAAAGAATGCTTTATTATTCTTCATATTCCCCATGACACCAAACTCGGTCCCTAATCCAGATCAGAAATTCAATAAATGATGAACAGAAAGGAAATGATAAGATAGTCATTTATCTTTACTACTAAGTCATGGCACAGTACATGAAGGCTTAGGTCAAGATGCAAAGTGATCAATGCAAACTTTTCCTTACCTTTGAAATCACATTCGGAAAGCATCAAGTATACTACATCAGGATCCAGATCAGAAAACATCTCTGAAATATTGGTGAAGAGGTCATTTTGATCAACTTCTGTCTCACATATGGAAGGAGGAGGAGTAACACGGGCTGCATCAACTTCCTTAGTGTTTAAGGATCTTCGAAATGGACTTCCCCCAAGATTTTTTCTTCTCCGTGGCATTCTGATGCCGCAAACTAAAATATTTTTCGTTTCTTATTCAAGATGTTTGATTCTTAAATCATGCCTCAAAGGAAACAAGACCTAAAATAGAAAGTAAATAGAAATAGTCAGACTGTACAATTATACTCCCAATCCTAAAATTAGAATTAAGTATTTATTTAACTCAGAAAGTGCCATCAATTCTAGCAGCAAAGCCAAGCAGCAGTCAATTCTGAACCATATATTTTGTTTTTTGCAATGATTGAACATGTCTAAAACTAAGATATTAACATAATTTAATCATTTCAGAACAGTGAATGTACTGTTTTAATAGCAATTATTTCAACAAATAAGCTGGGGGGGGGGCGGATAGTGGTTTTGCACTGGGCTGCTAACTGCAAGCTCGAAATCACCAGCTGCTCCAAGGAAGAGAGACGGCTTTCTACTTCCACAGAGTTATAGTCTCAGAAACCCACAGGACCAGGCTTTTGTCCTATAGGGTCACAATGAATCAGAATTGACTCGCTGGCAGTGAGTTTAGTTTTTCGGTCTCTCTTGTCAAATAAAACCATATCCATAAATATATTCAGAATGAGTACTGAGCATCTACACTTGGATATCTACTAGGCATTGTAAAACTTAACATCTCCAAAAATGAGCTCATGATCACCCCTTCAAGCCTGCTCTTCTTACTTTCTCATCTCAGTTCATAGCAACTCTATCCTTCTAATTGCTCAGATAAAAAAAATTGTTTTAGTGTAATCCTTAACTCCTGTGACCACACAGCCAACCATTAAGCCAATTTTGCCAGGGCAGCCCTCAAAATGGATCCACAATCTGATCATCCCTCACCATCTCCCTGCCACCGCCTAGACTACACCACCAGCACCCCTTGCCTACATTATTATTATTATAATCTCCTAACCCATCTCCCTGTCTCCATCTTTGCCCCTCTCATTCTACTTTGAGCAACAATCGGAGTGACTCAAACTACAGATCAGATGACTCAAACTACAGATCAGATGATGCCTCTATTCTGTTAAACTTTCCAATAGTTTCCCAACTCACCTAAGGTAAAAGTCAGAGCCCTTAGAGTGACCTGTTTCCTAGATGCCTGTCACCATTGTACCGTCATCTCCTAGTAACTCTGGTTCATCCACTCCACTCAAGCCACATTTGACCACCTTGCTCTTTTTCAAAGACTACAGCTAGGTTGCCACCAGAGGAAATTTACACTGAGACTTTTCTATCTGAACAACTTTCCTCCCATGTATCTGTAAAATTAACTACCTCATCACTCAAATATTATCTCTTAGGAATTTAGTCCTCAAGTATTACTTATGACCTCTTTTTTTTCCCCATGCCCTCTATCACCTGGTGGTGAAGTGATTACACATTGGGCTGCAATCCACAAGGTCAGTAGTTTGAAACCACCAGTGCTCCAAGAAAGAAAGATGCTGCGTTATACTCTCATAGAGTTACAGTCTCAGAAACTCACAGGGCCATTTTACCCTGCCCTATAGGGTGACTATGAGTCAGCACTGACTTGATGACAATGAGTTTGGTTGACTTTTATCACCTTCTAATATATAGTTTTAATTATTGATTCATTGTATTACCTATATTCCCATCAAGTGAAAGCTACACAAGGACAAGGAGTCACATACAAAAAAGGTTTCAAAAGGTTTGTGGGGAAATGAAATTGAAAGATACTGGAACTTAAAAAAAAATTAAAAAATAAAAAGAAAGATACTAGAACTTTTCCACAAACTTTCTGAAACCCCCTGATAGAAGCAGAACTCCAGACAAGGGACTTGCTTTCCCTACTTAAATGTGAATGAGATCGACAATTCTATTATATTTGATAGAGACATTTTTACTAAATTTTACTAAATTTAAGGAGCCCTGGTGGCTCTGAGTTAGGAATTTGCTTGCTAACCACAAGGTTCAAAGGTTCAAAGTTTGAACCTGTGATAGAATGCAAAAAAAAAAAAAAAAGCACCAAATCCAAATATAAATCTTAAAGACACATTTATTAAGTCTTAAACAGGACAAACACAAGAGAATGACAAAAGACAATTTGGATGAGGTAGACACTTTCTACGAGGCCACAATGGTATCGGTATCCAAGAATTTACAGAAAGCCACCCACTTAAGTCATTTTTATAAGGGAAACTGTCACAAAAGCATGATTGGCATCAGACAGATATATCATAGTAGCAGGTGGCGAGAGAACCATAATTGGTATACTACACAAATGCAGCTTAGGAAAATTTACAAGTTTGGATCTAAGCTCGTACAATCACCTTATACTTGATGGCTCAAGTATGATTTATGAACAGAGGTTCCTGATACCTTAATTTCAAATAAGGGCCTACCAAGGCAACACACCCTAAGGGCAGGACTGCCCCTCCTTGGGCTAAACTCACAGCCACTGATTCCATGCTGACTCAGGACAGAGTAGAACTGCTTCTGTGTATATCTTTATAGGAGTAGAAAGTCTCATCTTTCTCCCTTGGAGCAGCTAGTGGTTTAATTGCAATCTATTCTCAAATACATTGTGTCTGAGGGCAAACTTTTTTTTTTTTTTTTGCTGCATTAAAGCATAAATTCTGGGCACTCCAGTTTGCAAAAGGCTATGGATAGCAGTGATAGCCCCCAGACCATTTGCAAAGTTCTCACAGAAATTATCAGCAAATCACTAGAGAAACTAGATTATATGAAGAAGAATATGGCATCAGGATTGGAGGAAGGCTAATTAACAACCTTCAAAATACAGATGACACAACCTTGCTTGCTGGAAGTAAGGAGCACCTGAAGCACTTGCTGAGAAAGATCAAGAACTGTAGTCGTCAGCAGGGATTGTGACTCAGTGTAAAGAAAGAAAATCCTCAGAACTAGACCAATAGGTAACATCATGATAAACAGAGCAAGGGTTGAAGATGATAAGAATTTTTCCTTGCTTGGATACAAAATCAGTGTTCATGGAAACAGTAGTCAAGAGTTGATCAAAAGAAGCATTGGATTAAATAAATCTGCTATACAGACTTCCTTAGAATATTGAAAAGCAAGGATGTTGCTTTGATGACTAAAGTTTGCTTGATCCAAGTCATGGTATTTTCAATTGTGTCCTATGCATGTGAAAGAAGGACATTGAATAAAGAAGACTGAAGAAGAACTGATATATTTGAACTGCGATGCTGGAGAAGAATACTGAAAGTACCATGGACTGCTTAAAAGGACAAACTGTCTGTCTTGGAAGAAGCAAGGCCAGAGTGCTCCTTAGAAGCAAGGATGGTAAGACTGCATCATACATACTTTGGACATGTCAGGAGAGACCAATCCCTGAAGAAGGGCATCATGCTTGGTAAAATCCAGGGACAGTGAAAAACAGGAAGGTCCTGAAGGAGTTGGATTGCCTCAGTGGCTGCAACAATGGGCTCAGGCATAGGAACAATTGTGAAGATGGCACAGGACTTGGCACTGTTTCCTTTTGTGGGGCATAATCACCGTGGGTTAGAACTGACTGGATGTCACCTCACAACAAAAACACAGAAATTAAGCCTCTATTAAATTCTTCCTGATCACTTACTGAGAATGTACATAATCTTTCCCTCGGGCAGTCGTCCTTGTTGTTAGGTATCCTTGAGTTGGTTCTAACCCATAGCTATGTGGTATACAATGCCCGGTCCTGCATCATCTTCACAACTGTTCCTATGCTTGAGGCCTCCATCAGGCCCTGGTGTCAATTCATCTTGTTGAAGGCCTTCCTCCTTTTCCCTGCCCTGCTACTTTACCAAGCGCAGTATCCTCCAGGGGCTGGTCTCTCGACATCATATACAAAGTACATGAGATGAAGTCTTGCCATCCTGGCCTCCAAGGAGCATTCTGACTGTACTTATCACAAGACAGATTCGTTAGTTCTTTTGGCAGTCCATGGTACTTTCAATATTTTTCACACGCATCATAATTCTAATATACCAATTCTTCTTTTGTCTTCATTATTCATGTCAGCTTACCCATGCAAATGAGGCCATTGAAAATCCCATGGCTTGGGTCAGGAGTATCTTATTCCTCAAAGCAACATCTTTGCACTTCAATATTCTAAATAGGTCCTGTGCAGTAAATATACTCAATCAAGGCATCTTTTGATCTCTTCTGTGAGCATTGATTATGGATCAAAGCAAGATAAAATCACTGACCACTTCAGTTTTTTTCCTTATCATGATAATACCTATTGGTCCAGTTGGGAAGATTTTGGTCTTCTTTATATTGAATTGAAATCCATACTACATACTGAATGCCGTAGTCCTTAATCTTCACCAGCAAGTGGTTCAAGTCCTCCTCATTTTTAATAAAAAATGCTTGTGCTATCTGTATATCACAGGTTGTTAATAAGCATTTCTACATTACAGATGTCATATTATTCTTGGTATAATCCAACTTCCCAGATTTTCTCAGCCTACTGATTGAATAAGTACGGTTAGAGGGTATAACCTTTATACACACCTTTTCTGATTTTAAGTCATACCTAATCCCTTGTTATGTTCCCACAACTGCCTCTTTTTCCACATACAAATTGAGAAAGAGCACAACAAAGTTTTATAGACTTCTCATTCTTCTCAAGGCTATTCATGGTTTGTTATGATTCACAGTCAAATACCTTGGCTTAGTCAATAAGAGTTTACAAGTAAACATCTTTCCGGTTTTCTCTACTTTCAGCCAAGATCCATCTGACATTAGCAATAATATGAAGGGGTGCCCCCCCAAAACAGGGGTGCCCCCAAATTTTTTTTTCAAAGCTATGTATTTAAGATTTTTTTACAAAACAACCTTATCACCTTTAAAGTACTCTCCATTACACTTAATACGTTTGTCAAATCTGTGATTCCATTCTTGGAAACATTTTCAAACACCTGTTTGGATGGCTGACAGCACCTCCCTCATTTCTTTCTTCACTTCTATGTTGTCAAATTGCTGTCTTTCATGGAAACAAAAAGAAGTTGCACAGAACAAGGTAAGGTGTGTGGGGCAAGAGGCATGCCAGGTTTTTGTTTTTCCAAAAACTGACACACTGAGATGGCTGCATGAGCTGGTGCATTGTTATGGTGGCAAAACCAGTCCCCCATCTGCCACAAATCTGGCCTTTTTTGTTGCACACAGTTACGCAATCTTTTCAGAACTCTAAATATAGAGTTTCATTAACATTCTGACCTGGTGAAACGAACTCCAAATGTACTAAGAGCTGACGTTTTCATCGATTAGGGAAGTTGATGGACATCTAGAATGAGGTTTGTCATTCTAGACATTTCACCTTTTTTGAAACAAGAAAACCACTCATACACTTGAGTTTTTCCCATAGCACTGTCCTTGTAAGCTATGTTCTTTGCGAAGAACTTCTTTGTGGTGGTCAACATCACAAAAGTTTCTGCAGCGTTTTGCCCAAGCAGAAAACAAAATTTCACCACATGTTGTTCTCTTAAAATCGGCTACCACACACACAAAAAAATCCTCAAGGTTCAAGCAAAACTGCTTTTATGAAAACATTCACTATGACTAGAGCGAACCATCCCAGGCGATGCCACTGGGTGCACTAACTCAAAGTGAGTTGCTGGATGCTCACCTAGCAGGAAGAACGTGTACTAAGAAAGCTCCACTCCACCCAGCACAATTCCTGTGTTTTTTTTAAGTACCCCTCACATACCTTGTTCCACATCCTCTTCTGAATCTGGCCTGAACTTGTCAACTCCCTGGAAATGTACTGCTGCAATAATTGTTGGATGATCTTCAGAAAATTTTAATTTGCATGTAGTATCAATGATACTGTTTTATAATATGAGCATTCTGTTGAGTCACCTTTCTTTGGAATGGGTACAAAAATGTATCTCATTCAGTCAGTTGGCCAAGTAGCTGTCTTACAAATTTCCTGGAATACACAAGTATTTCCAGTGCTTCATCAGTTTGTTGACGCAATTCAATTGGTATTCCATTCATTCCTTGAGCTTTGTTTTTGGCTAATGCTTTCAGTTCAGTTTTTACTTCATCCTTCAGTACCACTGGTTCTTACTCATATGCTACTTCTTGGAATGGATGAATGTCGACTAATACTTTTGGTACAATAACTCTTTGTATTCTTTCCAACTTCTTTGGATGGTTCCTACATCATTCAATATTTTGCCTGTAGAATCTTTCAATATTGCAACTCATGTCTTGAGGTTTTTCTTCATTTGTTTCAGTTTAAGGCAGTGGTTCTCAACCTTCCTAATGCCACCACCCTTTAATATAGTTCCTCATGTGGTGGTGACCCCCCCAATCATAACATTATTTTTGTTGCTACTTCACCACTGTAATTTTGCCTCTGTTATGAATCAGGTGACCCCTGTGAAAGGGTCATTTGACCTCGAGGGGTCGTGACCCACAGGTTGAGAACCGCTGGTTTAAGGTATGCTAAATCTGTTCTTCCCTTTTGTTTTTCTGTCTTTGCACACTTCGTTATAACATTTGGCTTTGTCTTCTTGAGCTGCCCTTTGAAAGTATCTATTCCGTTCCTTGACTTTACCCCTTCTTCCATTTGCTTTAGCTACTTTGTGATTAAGAGCAAGTGTCAGAGTTTTTTCTGACATTCACTTTGATTTTTTTCTTTTTAATTACCTTTTCCTTTCTTCATAAATGATATCCTCTCATAGCTCATCAGATCTTCTGTCAGTGTTTAATACAGCAAATCTGTTCTTAAGATGTTCTCAAAATTTAGTAGGATAGACTTAAGGTCATATTTTTGGTTCTCATGAACTTGATTTAATTTTCTTCAGCTTCAACCAGAACTTCCCTATGACAATTGATAGTATGTATGTTCCATAGTCAGCCCCAAGCCTGGTCGTAGCTCCTGACATTGAGCTTCTCCATCATCTCTTCACACAGATGTAGTCAATTAGGCTTCTGTAGATCCCATCTGGAAACTTCCATGTGTATAGTCAGCTTTTGGTTTGTTGAAAAAAGGTATTTGCTATGAACAAGACACTGGTCTTACAAAATTCTACCATACGATCTCCAGCTTCATTTCTTTGTGCCCCATATGTGTTATTATGTATATATGAATAAACAGGCAGCACTCATAAGTATGTGTTCATATAATGAACATGTATGCACATATAACTATAAATTCAAAGACACACACACCAGTATACTCACTTGTACCTTCATATATATATCCACCTCTGATAGAATTTTGCAAGACCAATGACTTATTCATAGCAAATACCTTTTTTACCAACACAAACAGCGAACATACACACGGATTTCTCCAGATGGAATAAAGATATCAAATTTACTTTATCTGTGGGAAGAAACAATGGAGGAGCTCAATATCAGCAGCTAAAATGAGGCCAGGGGCTAACTGTGGAACAAAGCACATATGTAAGTTAAGCTTAAAGCCAACGAAAATGAAAAAAAAAAATTCCACAAGAGCCAAAGGAACAATTACGAGGATAGAGCCATAGAAATAACTGTGAGGCTAGCACAGGGCGAGGCAGTGTTTTGTTCTACTGTGCACAGAGTTGCTATGGGTCAGAACCAACTCAATGGCACCTAATACATATAATACGATTGTTTGAGGATATGCCACACTGCTTCACACACTTGCAGTTTTACAGTCCCACCAACAATGTATGAGGGCTCCAGTCTCCCCACACCTCCTTCACCATTTGTCTTCTGCTTTTTTGTACTTTGCTATCAATGCTGGGTGAGGTGGTATCACACTTGATTCTTGTGATTTGCATCTTCATGCATCTGTTAACCTTCTGAATGTCCTCTTTGGTAAACCACCTATATATGCCTCTGCCCATCTTTTAATTGCACTGTCTTTCTTGGGGAGCCTTGGTGGCATAGTTTATACATTGAGGTACTAACTGTAAGGTCAGCAGTTCAAAATCACCATCTACTCCTAGAGAGAACGATGAGGTTGTCTACTCCTATAGAGGTACATTCTCAGAAACAGTTCTACCATATCCTATAGAGTCAGTTCTACCATATCCTATAGGGTCGCCATGAATTGGAATCAACTCGATGGCAGTGAGTGGTTTTTGAATTAGGTCTTTTTCCTATTGAGGTACCGTCGTCTCAGGATTTTAGAGATTAGTCCCTTGTCCAATATATCATTGAGCAAAAAGTTTTCCCAGTCTGTCACTTTTCTTTTTACTCTTGTAGTGAAATCTTTTGATGCAATCTTATTTTTAAGAAATCACATTCATTTTGGTTTTTGGTGTCTGATAGTGTATCTATGCCATGTATCAGGGCCCCTATGCTTGTCCCTACTTTTTCATTGGTCTTTAGAGTTCTAGAATCTGTCCATTCAGATTGTTAAGAGGGGGAGGAAGCACTAGAACTGATGTGATTACACAACTCATTTTAAAGGCAATTTAAACATGGGTGGAGGGTGATGTGGTGCTGATTGTACAAAATCCCCTGGATATGATTGAATGATTTAATAATTCAATTGAATGACATATAAATTGTGTGCCAATGAAACTGTTGGATGACAACAACAAAAAATTGATCTGGTGGCAATAAACACAACGGGTTTTATTTTCCTAATCCAGATACCAGAAAGGTATCCGAGACATATTAATAGGAAAAGCCAGCTGTCAAAGAATGGCAGAAACCTGTATTCCTCTATAATCCCAGGGCCTTCCTTATGAGAAAGCCATGCCCACAAGGAGTCACCATCAGGATGTGACCCAACTGACAGGCTGAATACCACCACTACGCTGTTACGTATCTTCAAGTTGCAGTGAAATTATCTAACTACCACAAAGGGTACAAGCATGTGAATTGTATGTCAATAAAACATAAAAAGAAAAAAATGGCGCGGAAAGGCTGATGCCGAAATGGGAAAAGAACATTCATTTTGGGGTGGATTTGTTTGTTTAGTGGGAAAAGCGATCTGCTGACTCATCATGGTTGTCTGGAGAGTGGAACCCTCTGGGTTTTCGGCTCGGAGTTCAACCAATCCACGGCATCTTGAACCAGGCTCTAGACCAACATCACTATTTGACTGGCTTGAAGCGTCGTAGGCCAGCCCATCTTGCCTTCTAGGCAAAATTGCAAAATTGCGCTAGGTCCGGCTGCTAGAAAGAATGTGTCCCAACCTGTCCGAGCCGCCAACCTCAGGGCCTGGTTCTAAGATTGTTGGTGGCGACGGGATAATTCTTTCAACCCCACGCAGGCACTCAACTGCACCGACATTTTCGTATTCTAGCCATTGGGGGCGGGGGCGACGCACGTTCCTTCCCACCTCGAAGGCCGCAAAAATCCATGCTGCCTTACATAACGTGGCTCAGCCTCCCCAGAAGATGGGTTTCTCAATGGCCATTTCGTAGAGTTCGAGAAAACTGGGTTCGTCAAAGGTCCCAGGGAGGGCCCTACTTGGAAGAGTTCGTAGTCAAGGTCAAAGGCGCACGGGATCACCCACTCGGGCGGTGTGAAACGTGAGGGCCCGCGCATGGGAAGAACCGTCGAGAAACAGCTTTGCCAGGACTGCCTATGTTCGGACTGCGGCCTGGCGGTGCCCTTCGGGGACCAGCTGAGGGGGCTGAGCGCCCCGTCAGCCCGGAAGCGGACGGCCGGTTTCGTAGGCAGGGGGTGTGCCTGGAGGGTAGAAGCCACCAGAACCACCTCCGGGCTGGGCAGCGAGCCAGGGCCCGCCTCTCGCCCACACTGCGTTTCCATTGGGTCCGCGCCGCCTGGCGCGTGGGCACCGGCCCAGGACCTTAGGGGTGGGAGGGGTGGGGGTTTCTGTCTCAGCCCCACTCGCTACCGCCTCGGGCCCTCCGCTGCGGCTGGGCGCTCCCGGACCCCTTCCCTCAGGGCCCCTCTTACTTGGTCCTCAAGCTGCCTTCCGGGCCGGAGCAGGCTCGTGGCGCGCGCGGCGCCGCCCGGCGTGTTTTCCCGCCGCCGCCGCCGCCGCCGCCGCGGCCCCTCGTGCATTCCGGCGCCGCACTGCACTGGCCGCCGCGGGGGCCGCGGCGCGGGGGGAGGGGGAGGAAACAGAGCACGAATCAGCCGCTGAGGACACACCGCCGCTCTCCGGTCGGTGGCGGAAGAGCAGCCTCGCCGGGGCCGGGCCGGGCCGGGCCGGGGGCGGGGCCCGCGCGTCAGAGGGGGCGTGGTTAGGGAGGCCGAGCGGCGCGGGAGGGGCGTACTGGAAACGGAGCAGGGACGCGCAGGAGGTCGGAGGAGCAGTGCATCAGAGTTCTAGCCTCTCACCAAAGTCCTCCCGTCTGTACAGCTGAGCAAGGTTGGAGGAGCTGTGCATCAGAGTTCTAGCCTCTCACCAAAGTCCTTCCGTCTGTACAGCTGAGCAAATCGTCATTGTATGAAGAATGATTGATGCGTTTGAATGATGGTTCTGGAGAAGACTTTTGTACCAGGGACAGCCAACAGAACAAGCCCATCTGTCTTGGAAGGACAGCCAGAATGCTCTTTCAAGGCAAAGATGGTGCGACTGGGCATCGATTTGTCCAAGCAAGTACTCAAAAGACAAACTAAAAAAAAAAAAATATCTAGGAGAGCTTCCTCATTTCTTGCGAGAATCATCCTTCTGTGAGTTTGACAGCATCCCTAGTTTCCTATCTGTGTGGGGAATTTTACAGGAAGCCATACCTCAGTCCAGAAGCAGATTGTGGTAGCTCCAGGTTTATCTAACCAAGTTTTCCAATCATTAACTAATCAGGAAATCCCCTGTTACCACAGCTGTTGACATCTTTCTGTCAATTACATGACCATTCTATCTGTGATAATCGCACACCAACATAGCCTACATCTAATTACTGTATGTTGAATTATTGACCAACCTATGTCATTCATGTAATCACAGGGTGGCACAATGAAGTGCTTGGCAACTTGGTGAAAGGCTAGTGCTTCAAACACACCTAGAAACTTTGGAAAACAGCCCTGGCTGATAGGCTTCTGAAAGGCTCCAGCCTGGGGGGAAACTATGGAGTGGTTCTACTCTGGTGCATATACATCACCATCGAATCAGAATCAACTGTAAGGCAACTGTGGAAGATTGCACTGTGACTCTCTAAAATATGTGTTGTGAATCCTACTCTGTATGTTGTGAATCCTACTCTGTATGTACGTGGGAATAGCCCTATTTGGGAGCTTTCTGTTGTGTTAATAAGGCAGGATTAGTGTAGATGTGCCTTGAGCTAATCTCTTATAATCAACAACAGCAAGAAGCAGGGACAGGGAAAGAGAGATGCCTTAGCCACAGGAAGATTGCCTAGGAGCAGAAGTTTAAAAGAAACGTACACCTTCCTCCTGAGTCAACAGGAAGCCTTCCCCTAGAGCCAGCATCATGGATCTGTATGTCTAGCCTCTTAAATTGTGATAAAATATATTTCTGTTTGCTAAAGTCACCCACTTGTGGCTTTATTATAATACTGCTAGGTAATGAAGATAACAACTAACAAGTCATTCATTTTCACTTACCTGTTGCAATGGAGTGGATTATTTAAGATCTAGTCATAGCCTTTGTTACTCCCACCAAATGCCCCCCCTTTTTTTCTGTAGGGTCGGGGTAAGATTGGAGTATATGATTCAGCTGTGAGTGATTGTTAACAGGGTTAGTTAATTGTGATTGCCTTCTCCTGAATAGGAAACTATTTGAGAGGCAGGAAGAGAGGAATGGACCTCACTGCTAGCAAAAAAGCAGACCCACAAATGGAGTGCATCCTTTGGACCCTAAGATCCAAAGGCACAGGAGGCACAGTCAGCCTCCGGGACCCAAGAAGCAGCTTTGATACCAGCTTTGACAAGAGCAGCAGAGGAGGCAAAAAAACAACAACTCACTGTCATCGAGTGGATGCTGACTCGTAGTGATCCTACAGGACAGGGTAGAACTGCCCCCTGTGAGTTTCTGAGGCTGTAACTGTTTATGAGAGTAGAAACCTCCATCTTTGTCTTGTAGGGTGGCCAGTGGTTTCAAACTGCAGACCTTGCAGATCAGAACCCAACACATAACCTTTTTGCCACCAGGGTTCCTAGCAGAGAAGCAGCTATAGCAAAATCAGGAGCCACAGCATGAGACTGAGTGGCGGATTGCCCAACCCAGCATGTACAGCTGAATACTTTGGAGCAGGAGGCTGGCTTGTAGAGTGGGGTGCCTCTGCACCGAATTGGGGATCTGGGTTTGCTGACCCATTAAAGGGAACAATTATCTTTATAACCCTATCTCAAATGCTCCTGTTTCTGTACAATTTTCCCAGATGCTCAAAATAAAATGAACTACTTCTGCTTTTATGCCTACAAAGATTTGTATATAACTATCACTCAGTTGCATAGTAACTTGGGGTTGATATGTGTCTTTACTCAACTAAGTGGCCCTCCCACCCCCAGGACAAGGAGATGTTTCCCTAATGAAGAAAATGTTCCTTATGTGTATATTAATTAGCCAAATGTGGGTGTCTTTACTGATTTACTCCCTGTCTGAATATTTCTAGAATTGGGAGAAGGACAAAACCCAGATTTTAAAAAAATTTAATTATACACAAGAAAAAAATGCAATTTATATTGGAGACAAAGGATTGATTTTTTTAATAGTCTACAAATATCTAGAAATCAATAAGTGCCAATAATTTATTTTTAGTGGACAAAATATATCTTTAGGTTACTCATAGAAAAAGAAAAAGAAACAAATTACTCTTAAACATATTGAAAATTATCTGTGTGGGGGTTTAACTGGGAAAAATGGGGAGCTAATAATGAGTACAAAAATGAAGAAAATGTTCTAAAACTGATTGTGGTGATGATTGTGCAATTCCTCTTGGTGTGATTGAACTATTATATGATATTTGGATTACATGCCAAGAAAACTGTTTCAGGAAAAAAAGAAAATTAAGTGTTCCTTGTTAATTTTAGCATTTGTTATAGCAAAATATTTTTATCGTATTTATCAATAGGGATTTGGTTAAATATGATGTTACATCAAAACAATGGGACTCATAATAGAAAAGAATGTTGGTGCTGATAGCTGAACAATCTCTAGGAGATATTGTAGAATACACATATAGTACCGGTACATCATTTTCTGCCACTGTGTCACACTAAGGTGGCTTGCACCTTGCTCTAACGCTGGCACTTACCTATGAAAGACAGGTTTCAGTGGAGCGTCCAGGCAAATATAAACTAAGAAGAAAGACCTGACAACCTACCTCTCAAAATCAGGTCATGAAAGCCCTCTTGGCCTGTTATGCTCTAAGGGGAAGATGATTCCCTTAGAGCAGTGGTTCTCCACCTTCCTAGTGCCACGACCCTTTCATACAGTTCCTCATGGTGTGGTGACCCCCCCCCCCCAACCATAACATTATTTTTGTTGCTACTGTTATGAATTGGGTGACCCCTGTGAAAGGGTCATTCGACCCCCAGGTTGAGAACCACTGCCTTAGATTGAAAAGCAACAAGGGACCCAGCATGTTGGCAATTGTGAGGATGCCATAGTACCAAGAAGTGTTTCTTTCTCTTGTGCCTGGGGTCACTGTGCTTCAGAATTTACTTGAATGCAAGTAAGAACAACTGCTTAGTAAATTCCTAAAGACAGAATATAAATAAACCAATGAACTACCATTTAGACAAATCTGATAAACATAAGAATAGCACTGCTCCCTAGGGTCAAATCTGATCAAGATAAGAGTAGCACTGCTCCCTAGGGTTTCCTAGGTTGGAAATCTTTAGAGTGCGACAGCTTCATCGCTGCTCCATAGAGCAGCTTGTGGGTTTGAACTGCTGACTAGGTTAATTCACTATGCCACCAGGGTCCCCCCAAATATAAATAGTATTTCTAATTAAACATCAAGAGTCAAACACCCTACAAAAGAACTTAAATCTGTTTTCTGTGAGCACAATTTTACATTGCACCTTCCAAGAACTGCACTATGTTGTTGTTGTTGTTGTTGTTGTTGTTGTTGTTGCTAGGTGCCATCCAGTCCATTCCAACCCAAAGCAACTCTGGCACAACAGAACAAAACACTGCCCAGTACTGCACCTTGAGCCCTCCTCACAATCATTCCTATGCTTGAGCCTATTGTGGCAACCACTGTGTCAATCCATCTCTTTAAGGGCCTTCCTCTTCATGGGACTTTACCAAGCATGATGTCCTTCTCCAGGAAGTGGTCTCTCCTGACAACATGTCCAAAGTATGTAAGACGCAGTATCACCGTCCTTGCCTCGAAAGAACATTCTGGCCATACTTCCTCCAAGACAGATCCGTTGGTACTTTTAGCAGTCCATGGTACTTTCAGTTTCTTCTCTAGCACCGCAATTCAAATGCACTGATTCCTCTTCTGTCTTCCTTATTCAGT